TAGGTACTGTTATGATTTTCTGTCCCTCCCTCCCTCAGCCTCCTCCGTCGCCTCCGTTTCGTTTTTCTCCGCTCCTCCTCCCTCCTCCTCCTTCCCTTCTTCTTTCCTTTCGACTCACTCTGTCACCAGGCTAGGTACAGTGGCATGATAACAGCCTCACTGCAGCCTAGATTCCTGATTCAAGAAATCTCCTGCCTCAGCCTCCCTGGTAGCTGGACTATGGTGTGTTTTGACCATCATGCGCTGGCTAATTTCTTTTTATTTTTTGTAGGATGCCCAGGCTGGTCTCAAACTCCTGGCCTCAAGTGATCCTCCCGCCTCAGTCCCTCTCACTATAGCACCTTTGCATATACCTTAAATTCTTTTCTTTCTACTCACTCCCTCTTGCTTAGTAATTTTCACTCACTGTTGGGTTTTCTGCTTAATCATCACTTCTGCAGGGAAGCCTTTCCTGCTGGAGGCAATTCCGCCTCTATTATATGATTTCCTATGTACTTCTGGTATATAGCGCTGTCACTGGTTTAACTCACATTAATGTGAGGATTAGGGGGTTAATGACTAGCTCCTCCCTAGGCTGTAAGCTCCATGACGCCAGTGACCATGTCCGGTTTTGCTCTCCTTAAGCCCCGTGGATGGTGTTTTGGAATATGTGGGGCTGAGAGAGTGACCGTGAGCTGCTTCCGATAGCCAGTGTGGATGTCCAGCAGAAGCGGACATAAGGCTCCTAGGGTCCATCTCCCAACAGTGAGACAGCTGTGAAGTTTTGCCTCTACCTCAACAAACATTTCCCATCTTAAGGAAAGTTGGCAGCACTCCGAAAGGAAACATTTCCACTGTGCATGATGCTGGAACGATGGAGACACAGCATTCCACAGGGACTTGCTATGGCAGGATCTCCCAGATCTCACCACTGGCTATTGGATGGGGCACAGCGAGGTGGGCTGGGCTAGACCAATGGAGAGGTGGGGCAGACCGGTCAGAGGAGGAAATAGGGACCCAAAAAACAGACTGACTGGCGCTGAACACTGGGGAATGGGCAGTTTTACCAAGCTCAGCCTGAGTGGCTCTCCGTGTTCTCTATGGCCGCCGGCCGGGCTATGCTGGCCTACCACATGTACCAGGAACCCAGATCATGTTGTGTTGTGTTTTAGTTATACCCATTGGTGGGGGAAGGGGGTGGTGGGGAGAATTACACCTATTTAATTATTTTCAAATATGAATTATAAAGCACTAAAGTCTAAGCATAAAATGAGATAAATAAAAGTATTAGTGTCCTGTATACTGCCACTAAAAGAAACAAAAGTCTCTATCCGTGGCTAGGGGGCTCGGCCTCCCAGAAGCTGAAAAAAAAAAAAAAATTTGCTGGGATGTTTTAATTAGGAATTTTACAGCTACTGTCATAAATTGAGTTATTAATAGTTTTCTTTTTGTTCTATCTTCACTAGGTTTTGGTATCAGTATTGTAAGTTTATCATAAATGAATTGAGGGCTTCCTCTCTTTTCTTAGAATCCAGAAATTTCTAGACTATGAATTATATCTGTTATTTTCTTTTTTGTATATATTCCCTATTTTGTTTTGTTTTTCTTTTCCTAATTTCTTGAGTTGCATTCTTTTTCAATAAAGGAAAACACTTAAACCTATACAATTTCCTGGGTGGCTGGGCGTGGTGGCTCAAGCCTGTAATCCTAGCTAGGAGGAAGGAAGGAAGGAAGGAAGGAAGGAAGGAAGTCATAACAGTACCTACTTTATAGTCTCAGTGGAAGTACTTTAGTGAGCAGCATATATGTTAGTCATTATTAGTGACACATTCCTTTAATTAAGTGAATTAAGTTGATACCTCTTGAGTAGAGAAACAAGGAAAAGAGACAGTGTGGCTCTGACTCTGGGTGTCCCAACCCTGTTTCAAGCAAACATTTCTACTTTGATGTGTTTTTAATATCTGATGATGATATTATATGATATTTGTATGTAAAAAGAGTTTCAGCTGGGCGCGGTGCTCACGCCTGTAATCCTAGCACTCTGGGAGGCCGAAGTGGGCGGATCACTCAAGGTCAGGAGTTCAAAACCAGCCTGAGCAAGAGCAAGACCTCGTCTCTACTATAAATAGAAAGAAATTAATTGGCCAACTAAAAATATATAGAAAAAAAAAATTAGCCAGGCATGGTGGTGCATGCCTATAGTCCCAGCTACTCGGGAGGCTGAGGCAGAAGGATTGCTCCAACCCAGGAGTTTGAGGTTGCTGTGAGCTAGGCTGACACCATGGCACTCACTCTAGCCTGGGCAACAAAGCGAGACTCTGTCTCAAAAAAAAAAAAGAGTTTCAATGCTAATAAAAATATTTGACTTATCTTCCAAAAGTAAAAGTCCACAAATGTGTGAGCCCAATACTAGGTATTGTAGACGAGTGCTTCTCAAACTTGAATGCAGGTAGGAACTGCATGGTGGTCTGATCCAGCAGGTCCAGGATGGGGCCCAAGCGTCTGTATTTCTCCCAGATGAGCTCCCAGGGAGGCCGGTGCTGCCAGTCCATGGACCACACCTTGTGTGCCCAGGCTCTAGAAACACGACAAAGTCATTGACATTTTTCTTTCCTTGAGCATAATCCTTTGCCTGATCAGTTGACAGGGCCAGCGTGAGTACAGTCACCTCTTGGTTTGGGATGTTATTTTCCTAGTAAAGGAGATTACGACAGGAGTTTCTGCCAAGCAGCCAGGTAGTTGCTGAGAACACACATGTATGATACCTGCAAGAAGAGCCACCCCATGCTAAACTGTCCTCCCACCTCTGCCTCTGCCACAGGTGCCTGCAGAACTACATTCCCGCCCACAGTTTAACCCTCTCCTGCCCGTGGTGCCGCCAGACCTCCATCCTGCCCGAGAAAGGGGTGGCCGCGCTCCAGAACAACTTCTTCATCACAAACCTGATGGACGTGCTGCAGCGAACTCCAGGCAGCAACATCGAGGAGTCTTCCATCCTGGAGACGGTCACCGCGTGGCTGCTGGAAAGCCTCTCTCTTGCCCAAACCACGATGGCAATGTAAGTGACTCCATGGCAGATGCTGCCGGGGAGCATGACGGCCATGGCCTTGGGTAGGCTTTGGTCACATCACAGATGACACATTGAAACAGAACTCCAGCTGGAAAATGAGTAGTTATTATAAAAAAGATTTTTACAGCCATTACGCTGCTCGGCCTGCTCACCTTCTCTAACCAGAACTATTTAAATAATAAAATCCGTCTTCACTGTGTCTGCTTGACACAATTGTTGGTATCCCCAGGAGGGCAAACTCTTAGCTATTTGCAAGCTGGATATTTTTGACCCACATAAACATCTATGTAATACATTACAGATAAAGATTTAATAAGGGATAAGTTCATAAATTGAGAATAATTATTAAGATGTTAATTAGAGTTCTTATTTTTCTTATGAGGGAAAGTTTTCTCATGCTACAGTAGACCCTATTCCTCAATCATAAATAGAATTAGAAGCTACGTGAGTCACTGATAGTAGATTATGGATCATGAATTCCAAACAATATTTCCTGCTTCTAGCAACGCGCAGTAACTATTACAAATCACAAGGAGGGCCTGTGTGTACCATCAAATAACTGA